GTTCAAACCCACCAGCCACTCTTCGGAAGGAAGATTGGGCAATCTACTTCCATAGAGTTACCACCTGGGAGAGGTTGCTATGGATCGGGATTGACTTGATGGCAGTGAGTTTGGTTTTGAGTTTAGTGTGAATTGGAATCCTTGGGTGGTGCAAAGGTTAATGTGCTTGGCTGCTAACCTATAGGTTGGAGGTTGTCTTGGAAGAAAGGCCTGGTGATCTACTTTTGAAAAAATCAGCCGTTGAAAACCTATGGAGCATAGTTCTACTCTGACACATGAGTTGTTATGAATTGCTGTGATAATTAATTCAAAACAACTTTTTTTTTATGTTGGTTAGTATTACTTTCTATATAATTTCCCTACCAAGAAAAATATTATATTGATCTATACTGCTTTATTAAGTAACTTACTTGCGGCTGCTTCTGTTTTTGGTGGCCCAATATTCCCAGGACCCATGGCTCCAAGAGTAGATGAACAATTTGACTGGAGTAGAAGAAAAAAAAAACTTCAACATCCTGTAATTACTATTTGTATAACATAAATTTAAATTTTTTAAAATAATTTAAATTCGATAAGCTTTCCACCTAAAATATTCATATAGAGCTTTTCAGTTCAATTACATATCATTGTTATACATCAGAGAGACAGATACCAAGTATTATTTTGAATGTGTTTTCCTTGTCCTTTTAAAAAGTATTCTGTTTCATAGACCCTAGGGCAGACTTGAGCCTGGGGATAGGGAAGGAGCCCTGGTAGTACAGTGCTGAAGTGCTCAGCTGCTAACTGAAAGGTCAGCAATTCAAATTCACTAGCCGCTTAGCGGCAGAAAGATGTGGCAATCTGTTGCCATAAATATTACAGTCTTGGAACGCCTATGGTAGTACTACTCTGTCCTATAGAGTCACTATGAGTCGATATTGACTCAATGGCAACAGGATAATAGGGGAAAAAGGGAAAAGAGAATGAGCCCCATTCATGTCTATGAAGGTTAAAACTAGTTGTTAGTATGAATATTGACATCTATGGGGTATTAGTAGTGTCTGGTCATAGTTAGATGGGGTTAGATACATAGGGAATGTTTACAGAAATTAAATTTAACCACTAAATGAATCTAAGTATTTAGACTCCAAATGACCCATTCAAATAGCCGATAACTGTTTTTACTTCTGTCCCTTATGAGTGTGAAACAGTTCCCCACCATCTTATGACACTGAATTAGTGGATTTAAACAGCAACCCCAAATTAATAGTGGCATATGCATGTTGAACCACTTCAAACCTTATTCAATACAAATTTATTTTGCCCTCTTCTGCACAAACATGAACACTCCACAGGACTGCCTCTGACTCAGACTGTATAAGAACAGTCTTCATCTTTTCAATCAAGTACAACTTTATTTCCCATAGGCTTTAAGATCCTCTCATAAGTTAAAAAAAAAAAAAGTCATGCTCTCTTTCCAATTCATGGTGGGGATAGTGTAAATGAACTGATGTGTATACAATTCTCTTGCTGTTTTCAGAGAGAATATACTCAAAAACACATCACTCTTGTAATCATTCCACAGCTCCCAAGATTAATACATGTTAAAAAATGAAAAGTAGTTTCTCTCCTGGAAAGTTTAATAGTTATTAGAAACATTAATTATTCTCCCACTGTTCTGATACTCTAATCCTGTACCTTCTAACGATATCTGTACTACAGTATCTGAATGACCAATTATCTCAAAATTGCTTATAACCCATATATACAGAATCATGCATTATTATAGCAATTTTCCTCTATAAATTGTACAATTCACCAAAATGATCCTAGTCATTCTGTTCTCATAAGCACTCATCTTTCACCTAGAAACACTGCTAGATGCAAATAAACCTCTCCATACACAAATGCCAAAGGCTTTGTAAATCCTATCTCTGATTCTGTTCCAGTTACCAGTTGCCACTTTCCTTTATTCAAGATTACTGTTTCTCAAATACTTAATACTTTTTCTACATGGCATAGCCCTATCTTTCCCAGGATGTGGCCTCCAGAAATGATTATTTTGCTATTTCAACTAAGGTAGCAAAAAATGAGCTTGCGTTCCTAACTTCATTGATAACATTGTTCTTAATTTTCTTTCTTGTGTCCTATTTTGTTGTATATGGTGTTATTAACCTGATTTTTCTTTATTTGTTCCACCTCTCTGAAGACTTTCATCTGATCAAAATTTCTTGGTTCCTAATCCTAGTTCCAAGCTCAGTTCCCTTCTTGTACAAATTTTATTTCTATTTCATATCTTATTTGATTCTGCTCTTTCCACCAAAGTTCTTTCTGGAATGTGGAAGCCCAATATAGTGTCCATAAGAGCCACTGAACTTGCTACATATCCAGATTATACCTGCTTTTCCACTTTATGGGGGGAAAAATGAGGAGAGGAGTAAATTGATGTGGATGTTCATGGACTATGGTTTATTCATGGCAAACTGCTCATAACAATGAAAAACTTCATTAAAATAATCCTAAGCAAATGGATATATTGTACTATGTTATTGTTGTTGTTGTTATGTGCCATTGAGTCACACCCGACTCATAGAGACCCCTCCTTGGGTTTCCAAGGCAATATCACTACGAGGAGTAGATTGCCCAACCTTCCTTCTGAGGAGTGGCTGGTGGGTTTGAACCACCAGCCTTCTGGTTAGCAGTTAAGCGCCTTAGGTACTATGCTACCAGTGCTGCTATATTGTACTATAATTATAAAATTTCTAACTTAAATTTTGTTTGCACGGGCAGTCTGATAGCCAAAGTGCACTGATATTTAAGGAGTAGGAGAGTGGAGAGCAAGGGTTACATTCTGGGAAACTGGCAGTAACCTTGGAGTAGCCTAAAGTCAGTTCAGGGAACTCTGCTAGGAAAAATGAAGCCCATCTTGCTGCTTCAAGTCCCTATGGGTTACCTGTTTTGACCCCAAATGTTACTCAGTTAATTAGACTCCACAGCTGTAGGTGAGTATGTATGCAGAAACTAATTTTGGTAGGATGAAGCTAGTTTGTCCCATTATTTGCCTCAAAATATTTTCTCTTCTGCTTTCATGGGTAGACAAAAAAATTAAGGGGACCGTACTTGAGGTATAATTAATATTTAAAAATTGAAAATATTTATTTTATAGAAATACTGTCTAGGCTTAAATAGTCCTAGCTATTATTCTTGCTATGGTTGTCAAGAACTCTTTAGCCATAAATATAAATGACAAACATTTTGAAATGTGGCTATTGCTACCATAGTTACAGAACTATTTTCCTATTCAGTGTTAAGGTAGTTTAGAAAAAAATATAATTATGTTCACTGGAAATGTGCTAGAGGTTATACTCTCATGTATAATCATCCTTGCAACCCCCTGTGTATGTATCAAATGACATAGCCTTGCTCCCACTGCAAAATTGGAACAAGTTTTTCAAATAGTTTCTTAACTTAATGTGAACAGAACTAATTTATCTTTAAGTATATGACCACCTGTTCAAATTCAAAATCAGCTTCTTCTTCTTCAGGGTAAAATAACTTAGAGAGGGCTTGTAGAGCAGAAACAGAAGAAACAGTATCAATTTCCATATTTTCAGATACTACATTTTCAGTTTCCATGTTTTCAGTTTCTGTATTTTCAGACTCCATGTTTTCAGATTCCATATTCTGAGGAAAAAGATAATCAGAAAGAAGTGTTTGACTTTTCTGTTTTATATGAGACATTAAAATTTTCAAGTGTCATATCTCCCTGCCTTCCCTGGGTCATTGCATTGTCTGTTACTCTTCTTTGAAAATATTTGTAAACTCCTTCGTATATAGTATTTTGCTGACTCATAGATCTGAGGCAGCAAGTAAACTCAAGTATTCATTCTGCTTTCCTAAATGTTTGTATTTAATCTAACAAGCATTTATTGAGCACCTGCTACAGGGGAGTTGGTTTACAATGCAGATTCTTGAGCCCTATCTGTAAAGAAAGTGTATGTCAGTGTCATATAGATTGTACTTCACTATTTGGGAACCTATTTTTTCACACTACCTTTATATATATAATCTCGGAAGGAAGGTTGGGCAATCCTACTTCCATAGTGATACTGCCTCAGAAACCCAAGGAGGGGTCACTATGAGTTGGGGCCGACTCGACGGCACAT